TTATTAAACCTACATTAGCACACAATAAAAAAAATGTACAAAATTGTGACATAAGAATCATATTGATTTGTAACAATTATTTTTAAAGACTACATTCATCGATTTTCAAGTTTATCGATCATCTTGATGGTGTGTGTGTCAATTTCAGGGACCATTTGATATATATATATATATATATATATATATATATATATAAAATAAAATAAAAAAACCATAAATCTTGTGGGCCAATTTATGTGCCACATCAGCATTTAACAAAATTTTTTAATTGTGACGGAAGAACCACATTAATTTGCGACATCTATTTTTAGGGATTACATTGATTGATTTTCAGTTTATGTGACCATTTGTGATAAAAATCCTTAAAAAATCATAAAAATTACCAAAAAAATTATTTAAAAACAGAAAAACTTACAAAGTTCACACTATCTACCTGTGAATAATCAAAGATAAAATTACTCCACCCTCTCTATGAAGAAAGTTGGGGTTCCACCATAAAACCAATTATGAAGAGTAGCCAAACTACTTATAAACATATGCAAAGTCCCTTCTCTCATCAGTGTGTGATTCATTCTCGACATGCCCCCTCACGTATAGCGAATTTTCAATGCATCATAATATGTAAAAATAAAAGGTAGTCTTTCTTAATTCTGTGGATTTCTTAATTCTTTGCGCGTTTCATCTTTGTCATGTCGCCAATTAAAAATAATTGAGCTCGGAATCATTGTTCTTGGTAACATACTCTAGCCCAACCGGTTGGTGATCTTTAATACCTGCTCTTATTGCGTGCTAGTACCTTTATATTAATTACTGTCTGCTGGTATATCTTCATATTACTTTGCTTGTATATCTTCGGTTACTTTACTAACCACAACACTAACTCTTCTCAGGTTCGCTTCATGAACTACACCCATATGGGAAATGATTTCGTTGTTAGATGGACAATCTTCCCTGCTGATCCTGCAACTTGCTTTTCTGCTGCGAAAGCAATGGTTATAGGTCTTCTGTTGCTGGGTTGCTGGATAACATGTACTTACAGCTGGAGCTTTTTCCATTTTCTGACTAGAGCGTTGACACATTCCTTACTCTGCAGGCATGATTCTGCGCTTAAAGGAACATCATATGCAGCTTCCTCAGAAATTTGGAAGTTATCAGTTGGTCAAAGTGAAGGCTGAGCCTCGAAAGAAGCGGTATGCTACTTCAGCCGGCATTCTTTTCACTGGAATGAAGTATCTGGTTTTGGAAATTTGATTTGAATTCATCATTCATGTATTCATGATGGTAGCTTCATGGACGTTGTCTTTGCTAATGGATTTTCTGTTTCCTTTCATTTCATGTTTCTTTAACCAGTTTAGCTTTCCAATTTTGCTACAAAGTTATACTCGAATGATTTTTTCGTTGGTAAAATTGGACTGCGTTGGAGAATTGCAGGTCATGGTGCGAGCAACACTCTTTGGCGGTGGTAGTTGGAGTATAATTACCTCGGTTGTTGGATTATTAGCAATATAGGGACGTAGCTGGTTAGGAAATACAGATTGCAAGAGATCGTTTCTTATGAGCCTGTTCGTGCCAGTACCATTGTTCCTGAGCAAGAACTTCAACCGCTTAGATAGTAACTTTCGTACCAATGTAGTTAGAGTTTCTTTGACTCACTGGAGATTCCGATTATGGACAGCTCGAAAGCAATACATACACTCCGGGGCATTGAAGCCGAACGTTCGGAGGAGATGAAATCTGCAATTCCTCTGTGCATTAGAATATCAGTATAGGAAAATGGATAGACGAATTGGTGATGAATATACGTCTGTTTTACTTGTAGGTATATAAAGATACTCTTCAAAGTTTCAGCTAATTTGTATATGACTTGCCTTTCGGCTTCGGTTCAACGGCAAATCCGTTCATTTTCAGGGTCAGTGCTTGGATTCAAGTCCAAGTCTTGCGTATTGAAGTAAGGTCAACGCTAGTATCAGTTGTAAATCAACGGCAGTAAGCCATTTGTCCCGGTACTGACAATCTACCGAACTAGCAAATATGAGAGCATATTATTTTAAGTTTATGAACGTTTGACCAACATTTCGATTCATCTTTTTGTTATAAATTATTTATGGAAGGAAAAGGCACATATTTACCTGCACACTCTGTTTGTCTATGTCTGTTAGTTCTGCTTTGATTTTTTTTTTCAATTTAAATTTAAAAAATAAATAAAAATGTGCAAAGGGAAAAAAGGTGTTTTGGAAACTACTTCATATACGTAGAAAAAAAAATGAGAGATTAAAGGGGTGTAGTTTATAGAGAATTTTATTGAATTTTTAAAGCGATAGACTTTTATTGATTTAGTAGACTTTGAGAGATTTAATAGACTTTTACTGACTATTATAAACTCTATAAAATTTCATATTTTATTGATATTCTTTTGTGGAAAAGAAATGAGTTAAATCATAAACTTTTTCAAAATTCTACAATGCTATAATATTTTAATCTTTTGTGTATTGTCATAGTTTTTTTAATGACCAATTTATTAATAAGCATTATTATTTTTTAGTTTTTATTATTGAAATGGTGGTAGTAAAGTTGGTATTTTTTGTGGCAGCAATAATAGTAGAGGTGGTGATTGTGGTGGTGGCGGGGTAATGTTTGGGTGGTGGAGTAGAGATGGGGGCTGTGGTGATGGAGTAGTGATGATGGTGGTAAAGGTGGCAATTATGGTGATGGTGAAGTGGTGGTCATAGAACGGGTGGTGATGATGGTTATGGCAATGATGGTACAGTAATGGCAGCAGGGATGGAGGAGGAGGAGGTGGTAATGACATGGTGGTGGAAGTGTTGATAATGGTAGTCATCGCATTATGTTGGGTGGTGTACTATATCTTCATAAAATAGAGAAAAATGAAATCCATTAAAATCTTATAGGATAGGTAGGATTTGTTTTGACAAAAAGCTTGCCATAAAAGCACTCAAAATCCATGACTCTTGAAAATCCTTTAAAATTTTAACTACATGGATTTTTATAGACTCACAAAATCACAAAAATTTTAGACTTTTTGGAAGTCATAAAAGTCTTTATTTAATACAGGGTGATTTTCGTTGACTCCTTAAAAGTCTTGAATCGCATACACTTGAATTTGAGTAACAAAGTTCATCAAACACCATATACAATACACCATTTTAAGCATGAAGGGATGATGGTGGGTGAGATGTGGAAAAATTGTATGTACATAAAATGAAAACTAAAAACTTGTCATCAGTTTCAAGTTTTACTTCATGCATTCTCCTTTATTTCTCCATCTTTCCTTTTCACCAATTTTCTTTATTCGTTATTTTCCTCCATTTAGATTTATTCCCTCAATGATTGTTAAAAAATAAAAACAAAATGGTTATAATCATGCCGTAAACGGTAAATGGTACGTCCATGACACAAATCATATGAGTTGCATCAACTTGAGGCATCTAATTGTTCTACCAAAGGCTTACTTTTGGGGGAAATTATTGTGAGAGACAAAATTTTGTCCTTGGAAGGGAAAACCCTACCGGCACAGGCATTGGTTTTTCGTCTAAAAGAGCCAGCCACAGCTGGATACTGTCCTTGAGGGGGCAAGGGGAGTTTCTGTTTTTGTCCTGAAGAAGGCAACCAGAGTAGCTTGCTATATCTGCCTAAGTGATCTGTAAGTTGAAGGCTGTTCACAGTGGGGCATCTGTATATGCTAGCTGCAAAGCAACAACTGGAACCTAATGAGTAGACTGTAAGTCATTTCCACATTCCTCTTTTCCGGAAAATAGAGAGAGAGTGTAGAAAACAAAATCGAGTGTTGGAAACTACTTCAGATAAAAAATTAGGTTCGACACCGGTTCACTTGTTTACAAAGGAGACAGAAATCTCTTCAACACTACATAATATTAATTGATACCGAAATAGATTATTGAGATTGAAAATAGAAGATCTTAACAGTTTGAAAATAAAATCTAACAGCTAAAACACCTCTAACACTGAATGATATGTAGTGCTGAACCTACTGTAATTTACTAGGAATATTTCATTGAATGTGTGATACACAATTCTAATTAGTTGGATGGTCGGACCATTCAAGCCATGGCATTAATTACTTGGTGAGATCAGAAATTGTTTTGATGAGAACAAGTCAGTAACAAGCTGGGTCTTGCAAATATATATGACGTGGCAAAGGACCAATCGGACAGTTAACTGGGTGTCATGAATCTGGATCTTCTCCAGATCCTCTTTGTGAGGATTTCAGAGATCCGTGAATCGTGTCCGTTCATCGTACATCGTGCGATCAGTTTTTATCAGGTATTGTTTGTGTTTAATTTTAAATAATAAAATTTAAAATAATTTCTGACCGTACGATGTACGATGACCGGACACGATATTCAGATTCCTAAGATCCTTACAAAGAGAATCCGGAGAGGATCCTTATTCGGGTCTCATAAGAGTTGGGGATGGGGATGCATGACAAAATGGCCTCTGAAGAGATGAGACGTACAATATATGCATGTGAAATTCTTACGTCTTTGCCCTGCATATCTGTCAACCTCTCCCACAATGTCTTTTCTTTGAATTTTCCAACCAATTGTATAATCTCTTGTACATCCTTCGCCAGATCCACCAGCATATGTCCCTCCTTTATATGAAAATATATGGAAGGTTTCCCGTCATTGTTTGTGATCCGGTTCAATAATGCAATATCATATGTAAATTTCTCTATACATTGTATTATAGAATCGAAACACCTCGTAGTAGTAAACCCATTCATATAAGCTGTTCTCCTTTCATGGCTTCATATACATATGCGTGTGTGTGTTATGAGTTTCTCATCAAATTTATATATGAATTCACCGTTACGTACAAAAAAGTCATATTACTAGAGAGAGAAACTCGAACACAGAGCTTGAATGCATGAACGAATGACCTTAACCGAATTAATCTAAAGTTAGCAGGAACGGTATTAAATATTAGTGCTTGCTTACAATGGCGGAGGTTGTTCACTCTTGCTACATTATTACTGAAGTATCATTATTCTTGAAAAAGAATGAAATACACCTTAATATACGAATCTCCACTTTACTCACTTGCTTAACATGAAATAACTAACTCTATGCATAAATATAATACTAATAATAATAACAATAATTTGCTTAACATGAAATCGAATTTGGCATTGACACAATAATATCAACTTTCGTTAATATTTTATTAGGATACGTCCCAGGCACAAATGCATACCAAAACCACCTCAAAGGAAAAAGGAATCAATTAAGGGCACTTGTCCTCGCCCTTCGAGTTTTTGAGGTCCCTGTAGCAAGGGCACTCGTCCTTGTTCCCATAAGTCCCCGATGGAACGCATTGACATTTCTCACAACAGATTCCACAGTACCTCAAGCACCGGTCCTTATATCCAGTTTTTGAACATCTCACCCCACACTTGGAGTCACAAAAAGCTGCAAAATTCGCATGCAAATAGGTTAATTAGAACACCGTGTGTGTGTATATATATATATATATATATATGTATATATACATACATACATACATATTATCACATAATTCGTTTTGACAAAACTATATTCTAAATACTCTAATCGACAAACGAATACCCGAATTAGACAGTAAAAATTCGAACACACTATCCTGACTAATTGATAATTCATATTTTACCGTATATTCTTAGTTTTAGAAACAAATTAAGAGAGGAAAAAAAAGAACAATATTATGAACTCGAGAAATATCGTTAATTAATTACATAAAAAGAGTAATTAGGTGGAAAAAAAAAAAGAAGGATCGTACGAGAACCAGCCATTGATGCCTCAAAGAAAGAGGAGGTGAGGACAAGGCAAACAAGCATGAAGGTTGCAGAGAGGAGCTTCATTTTTGCCAAGAAGAAGATGAGAGCGAGGTTGAAGATGGAAAGATTCGTATTCCAGTGAGCAAAGGAAACGTTTTGTTTTTTTTGCGAGTGTGTGGTGCTTTAGAAGTGAGAAATAAGGGGTATTTATAGTACGAGAGGTTGGTAGGTGAAATAAAAGGGAAAGAAAGAAGATTATAGCGTCAACGTAATAATAAAATAAAGGGTGGTGCAACTAGCGGAGCTACTCACAAAGCTAAGGTTGGCTTTAGCTCAGGAAGGTTTTATGTATGAAGCTTATATAACCACCCAATTTTAGTATAGGTTATTATTTAATGTATATTTAGTGCATGATAGGTAATAAATAATATTTTACCCAATAAAGATCATGTGCACTTTAAGCTGACTAGAGACTAGTCCCTATCAAAAGTCGGGCTCAACCATTTCCAACACATGAGTAGTCCACAAATTTCCATTTCATTCCTCACATAACATGCTTAATCAATTAATCATCCAAAAAATACATTAAGATTCAGTTCGCATTCAGAATCAACATTCATATCCAAATTATATCAAGTATAACAATAATAAGAAGGTTTCCCAGAACCACCCCCCCCCCCCCTTCTCCTCTACGTCATTTACTTACACCTTGGTCCAATTCGCACGTTCGTAATCACATGGTGCAAGTCAGCAGTAAACTAAATAATGATAATTTCAATCGTACAGCCAATCTAAGAGTTGGATATAGCTTAAACAATAGAATAGAATGTACCTAGTTGTAAATTTAATAAAAAAAGCTCTCTATGATCATATGTCCAGTCATAGGGGGTGTTGAGGAGGAGCGAAAGGTGCAGTCGCACAGGACCCCAAACAGTGGCGGAGCCAAGATTTCTTGTGAGGAGGGGCCTCACACAAGTATAGAAAAAGAAAAAAACAAATAGTGGTTATAAAATTACGAATGCAAAAACATCATAAAAATATCCAAATAATTAAGTAGTAAAATTAACATATGAATACATAATTTTATCTATTTATAGTAATCATAATTATTCTCGACGAATTTCATATTTTAAAACCATTGCATGATGTCATCTATACTATTGAAAGAATTATTAAAATCAATGGAGAGAATTACTAAAAATTTTGCAAACCCTAAAACTCAAGTAAGGTAGGATAGAATAGAAACAAATATTTTATAGAGAATAATAGAGTTTTACAAACCTTATTTGTTCTTTATTCAAAAAGTTTGGGATTTGGAATGACTAAATATATGAAATTCAAGAAGAATATGGGGAATAGCTCTGCCAGTGCACGAGTGAAGGACAATTTTATTAGTTAAAAGTGAATTATGGGTTTTAATTTAAAAGTTTTATTGATTTGTAATAAATGACCATTTGAAATATTATTCTTAATTCTAGGATAGGATTTTGATGAAAAGATAGATAAATAATTAGATAAGTGTTGAGAAGAGTTGCAAAGCAATAGAAATAGGTGTAATACTAATCTTGTATTTTCAAGTCAGGGTAGGCCTAGGACTACTCTAGTCCTCATGTGCCTCCGCCAGTGGCCCTAAGTTTGAAGGGGCCCCAAAATTTGTCATCTAATATTTATATGGAATAATGTTCTATATTTAAATTGATTTTGTTAGCACTTTAAAATTTCATCGTGCAATGCTTATAAGCATAATTTTTTTTTCTTTCTAAACATAAAAATTTGCAGTATAATGAGATATTTTGAGTGTCACATCCCCGCTCGGGACCCCATCACATCCCGGGCTCGACTCCACTGTAGCACGATATTGTCCACTTTGGGCCCCGACCATGCCTTCACAGTTTTGTTTCTGGAAACTCACACGAGAACTTCCTAGTGGGTCACCCATCTTGGGATTGCTCTAGCGCAAACTCGCTTAACTTTGGAGTTCCGATGGAACCTGAAGCCAGTGAGCTCCCAAAAAGCCTCGTGTTAGGTAGAGATGTGAATATACATATAAGGCTTAGAGGATCCACTCCCCTAGACGATGTAAGATGTTACATTGAGGCCAATAATAACACCTTAAAATGGTTGTTTTTTTTCAATTTTATTGTATATTAATGTTATACATTCAAGTGAAACTTTAAAGTTAGAGTTTTTGAAGTTTTTTTTTCTTGTTGAGTTGTTTAAGATTTAACTGCTTTTGAATATTTAGTTAACGTGATGTTTGTAGCTCTTTTTACTTATTATTGATGACATTTTTAAACTTGCAATCAGTGAGTGCTAAATTTTATTTTGATTTAAGTGATTGTTTTCTAGCATCAACACGTTGTCCTAACTTTTTTTAAAACTATCTTAAGGAGGGGCCCTTTTATAATTTTCGCACAGGGCCCCTAAAATCTCAGAGACGGCCCTGTGTCCAATACTATATATATAATATAAATATTAGATATATAAGAGACGTGTGTATATATATGTCTGTAAAACTTATATCCATTCAATTTCAAAACTAAAATAGTTTACATAAATACACGTATGTATACATATAAGGCTCGTATATAAACCCGTATATATGTATCATATCAAACAAACTAAAAGCACAATTTATTTTTAAAGTTGTTTTGATAAATCAGATTCCATTAAACCAGACAGACCAAAACCTGTTTCTGATTCACTTGACAACAAAACAATTACTTATTTTCATCTTATTGAATATATATATAGGGATAAGATCAAAAGACAAACATTTTGACCAATATTTTTAAACTTTTTTTAAGCCTTTAGATCACATGACATATATATCTAAGAAAACCATTTCAAACTGATATGCAATACATAGTTGTTTGGAAAAGTACAAATCTCTAAGTGAATTGTATTTGTCAAACCATTAAATAAAGTGCATGTCAAGAACAGACTATCAACTTGTATACAAAAAATAACATTAAAGGGGTATCCAATAAACTGAAACCATATAAAACTAGTTCTGGAATACAGATACCATATAGAAAATCACAAAATATTGAGCAAGAGAGATATAAAATAGCAGTGGAATGACTAAAAGAAAATATGGAACCTTTACCCAATTTTAGCAAGCTACATATACCACCGGCCAGGAAGCACCTCTCCATCTCTCCGCTTCTGGTTTCTTAGCCCTTATGCTTACTTATCCTCTCTCTCTCTTTCTATGACTCTATGTCCTCAAATTTTAGTTTGCATAAGGAACGCTACACTAAGAAAATAACTAAACAATTGAAATGATAAAGCAGGGAAGAAGGGAGTTTGTTCGTACAAGGTGATATTTTTTTGGGGTTTTTGAACATTAGTCCTTGCAAAAGATTAAAATTTAAAAAAAACCTGATGCTAGATTAAATATTCAATTTAATCCCTTGAGTGCACTTTTATCAAAATTTACATTCAATTTTTCTTATTTAATGTGTATGTTTATTTAATCTCTCCATATTAAATTTTAATTTTATTAATATGCACATATTTAATTTGTTTTAATTAGAAATGAACGTAAATGAGAAAATATTAAAAAAAAATTTGTGATACAAAAATATATAGATACATAAGTGTACATAAATGATTGTGCCAAAATATATAAAATTGACTTTTTTGTACCAAAATATTTGTACCTACATGATTGTACCGAAATATATTATAATGAACCTAAATGTATGTACTGAAATGTATTATATTGAATTAATGTACCTAAAAGTCAATACCGAAATGTATGTACAAAAATGTACGAACCTAAATGTCAATACCGAAAATGTATGTACCTAAATAAAAAAATGTCAATATAAGTGTACCTAAATGTCAATACCGAAATGTATATGTACCAAAATGTACGAACCTAAATGTCAATACCGAAAATGTGTGTACCTAAATATCAATACCAAAATGTATGTACCTAAATGTATTTACCGAAATAATAATTGAATTAATGTACCTAAAAGTCAATACTCAAATGTGTGTATCAAAGTGTACGTAACGAAATGCATTATATTGATCGAAATGCATTATATTGAATCAATGTAACTAAATGTTTGTACCGATAGATATACCAAAATATTCAAATGTATTAATGTACCTAAATGAAGAACATACAAAATTGTTATCGGAATATATATTATAAAAAATTTAGTTGCCTAAATGTAGACATTAAAATATATTATGGTGAATGAAATAAAAATTAAATGTAAATGTAATTAATACATTAAAATAAAAATAAAAAGATAAAATAAAACATCAAAATACAACTAATAAATGATATGATTAAATGTGCTAGGGACTAAAATTGGATTTTAATCTTACATATGATTATAATCTAAAACTCATCTTTTTAAGTTTTCTATATTTTTTTTTTATTGAACAAATGATATTATCTACATTAAGGGGGAGGGAGTGGATTTAGCCTTACAATGGGCTAGCAATAATGTAGTTCAAATTCGCATTTGGCAAGAATCGAACTAAGACCTCTCACTTACAAGTGAAAAGTAATACCACTAGACCGTAGTACTAAATGGTTATACGAAGGGATTGATTGAGATATGAATAAACAAAGATGTTATAGCAGATATTTTTTTATAAAGGGGATCAGTTGGTGGCTTCGCCATAGTAGTTCATCTTTTTCGGGGCCGGAAAGACCCACAGATCATTCCAGCCTCTCTTGCCACCGTCATGCGATTCACCAGCGCCAGAAATAATAATAAGTTACACAGTATTTATGGCAAAGCTAAAAGAACAAACTAACAACCACTTAATACTACAGTCTAGTGGTATTCTTCTTCACTTATAAATTAAAAGACTTAGGTTCAATTCTCAACCCACTCCCCTAACCTTTAGTGTAAACAACATCGTTTGTTCAAAAAAAAAAGAACAAACTAACATAAAGTCAGTAAAATACGTCGGCAATGAGAGAAGAAAGAGATGGTTCAATAAACAGAGAGAAAATTTGACGACAAAAAAAATAACAGAAAGATAAGAAACACTTGGGCGGCAAGGTATAGATAATTACCACCAATTTGCAAATAAATTTTATTATCAAACGATAGATTTGTAAATACCATGTAAAACGTGGCTGACAAATGATTTGTTACTTTGTTACGATAACCATAACTATAAATAAATATATTTTTAAGATATGAATGAGGATC